TGAGATTTCCTTGACTACATGACCATTTTACATATTTATGTGGTTTAATTATCTCAGATTTTGGGTGGTATTAGTAAATTAGGCTTTCATGGCAGATCCTGTTCCTGAGAATTTCCTATGGGCCAGGTACTTCTAAAATTAGGAGGGGGCCCAGATGTACAAAGTCAGTGAGTCTCCATGATGATGGGAGGGTATTTAATAGTGTCTGTTGTCTCAGACCCTAGAGCAGGATTATGCCGAGTTGCTATTAAAATCCAGGCCTCCATCTCAAATGCCAGTGCTGTTTTTTCTGATATTTGATCTCCTGGAAATTTGAGAAATCAAACCATCAGTTTAATGAAGGTAGATGAGAAATCATAGAAATGAAAAATTATTTCTGTTCTTTTCTCTAATTGGAGTGTTCTCCCTTCACCTCACTTTGTGTTTTGATGCTGAAATATTAGCCATGTGAGAGGGGACTTATGCATAACTCCTCAAATGCAATGAAAATTTGTGGGTTGTCAGGCTGCCTCCTAAAGCAACTGTCCATACCAAGAAAATTACCATATCTGTCCTAGTTTAGGGTAAAATAAATTTGGGGAAAAAAATCTTGCACATTTGAGTCCATTTCAGTCTCATGGGAGAATAATTTCTATCATCGACTTGCTTTTCTCCTTTCCCTTCTGTTGCCAAGGTTTTTGTCTCTCTATTATTGATCTTCATTTAGGATAGACGTGGCAACAGAACAGGGATACTAGTTGTGAATCTTGTTTCACTCTTTGCTTGCCTACTCAGTAGGCTCTAGGATATTGACCCTTTCTCCACTCCATTGCAGAGTACATTTTGATAAGCTCACCACCACTCTGGCTTTATTGTCCTCTTTTATTTTCCAGTCTCTTGATTTATTTTAATATTTACTTTTATATAGTTGTTGTATAATTCTGTAATCTTTTGTGAACACAGAATGGGCGTAAACATCCAAATGAATACATTTTTTTCTGCTGGAGAGAAGTGACTGAAGGTAACATTCATTGGAGCTGGTCTTGTAGAGATCTGTAGCTCAGCCAAAGGATATTTTTATGGTGGAGAAAAGCACTTACTAGTTTTTTGCATTGACAGCACCTGTGTGAGCCTTCTCTGCCATTTATTGTCATTGAAGCCTAAGCTTTCTCATATATAAAATGGGTATACTATTAGTGCATTGAAATGCTTAGCACAGTGTCTGACACACAAGCTCGCTAAATGTTACCTGCTGGTATTTTTTGTTTTTGTTTTGAGAGATGAAGAACAGTTTAGGCAAAAGGAATAGGTACAGAATCACGGAGGTACACTAGTATGTGTGCAATGTTCAGATATTCCAACAGGGAGTAAGCAATGGCCAAGTGGAGGCCATGAGCAGGGCTTACATAAAAAGTGAGTCTAAGCAAGAACTGCTGGGATGCAGATGTGATGGGGGTGTGTATTGGATGCTGCTGAAACCTGCATTTAAAGAGAGGCAGTGGGCCAGGCAACTGAGGGTATGGGGCATGCATCTGTCTTGATTCTCCAATAGAGTTGGCTGGTGGGTCTCAAATACCTGTGTACATGAAAATTACTTGGGACCTTGTTAAAAGCACAGTGCGTTTCCCCCCCATCCTGACCCTGTTCACAGAAATCCAGACTCACTAGGTCTGCCCTGGACCCTAAGATGCTGATATTTGATGAGCACACTATGGATTCAAAAGCACAGTGGTCCTCAGATGCACTTTGAGAGTGCTGGAATAGTTGTTGAGGGAATGCATGCTAATTTACTGGCAGGTCTGATGAAACTCAGTGGGAGGGAAGATAGAAATAAAAAACATAAAAGTAGCATGTTTACATTTATTATGAGTTCCACATATACATGTTCTAGCCTTGTGTTTTCTTGCTATAGATGATTGAGCACCAGTCATACAGATATAGTTTCAAAGATAAAATCTAATCAACAATCATATGATTGTTCTCTTAGATTTTGGAGAGCTGGGATTCCTCCTTCTAAATCTAGCAGGAGGGCAAGGGATGGCAAAACCTGTTAAAAAGAGAGCAGTAAATAGGAGGAAGGCACACAGCGTGAGGTCAGGAAATGAGAAAGGTGGAAATGGAAAAGGATGGCAAAAGTGCAGAAAAATTTGATTGGTTGAGAATCTATTTGTAAAGGAACCCAGCCAGCATTTAACCTTTTTTTTTTTTTTTTTTTTTTTTTTTGTAAAAATGAAACTTCCAGCATTTTTAATTAGTGAATTGCTCAATTTTGAAATTGCCTAATTGAGAATACTCAAGTTTTGTTGTGTTTTATCTGCCTGCTAATTAACAGACTGCATGGTTGACCATTATTTTTCCTTTATCTTTGTGGATAGAACATGTATATGAAGGTCTCTGCAACACTACAGCTCAAGTCTGGGTTAAAAATGCATGTCACCAGAGTTCGTACTAAATTATAAATCAAGTACTAGTATATCTGTTCTCCAAATCAATTCTTTTTTGCTCCTTAATATGATTTTCCTCTAGCACAAGACTTCTCTATCCTGGCACAATTGACATTTGGGGCTAGAACATTTTTGTTGTGGGGGATTGTTGTGTGTATCCGTAGGATGCTTAGCAGCATCCTGGTTTCTACCAACTAGATGCCAGTACACCCTCTCCTCTCATCACCACCCCCCCCCCCCCCCCGTGCCCCAAGCTGGGATGACTCAGAATCTATCTGGACATTGCCAGATGTCCTCTGGGGACCAGATTTGCCCCTGGAGGAGAACTGCTAGCCTAGTATTACTATGGTCTTTTTTCCTCCTTGTCTCTGCCTACTTTTTTGTTGTTGTTAATCCTCATCAGAGTATATTTTTCTTTGATTTTTAGAGAGTGAGGGAGGGGGAGAGACACACACTCAGAGAGAAACATAGATGTGAGAGAGACATATCAATTGGTTGCTTTCTGCACACACCCTGACAAGGGCTGGGGATGGAGCCTGCAACCAAGGTAGTACCCTTTACTGAATCGAACCCAGGACCCTTAGTCTGCAGGCCAATGCTCTTTCTATTCACTGAGCCAAACCAGCTAGGGCTCTGCCTACTTTTTATGTTTAAAATCCTTTTTAAAAACTGACAAGAACAAAGTGTGTCTGAACAAGATGACAACATCTTATGGTAGATATAGGGATTCACCCCTTTTCCTTCATTATTTTTGGCCAAATTTAAGAGCAGAAATTTTTCCAATTAGTCCAAATTGACTGTTTCAGGTAAAAAAGAATTTAAGATGTGCCAGGCTTCTGAAAAGCTGCAGTGTTTGAGAGATTTTTGTCACAGTGTTGTTGTTTTTGTTTGTCTTTGCTGAAAATATTTGCTTTTTGGTTAAGGATGAAGTGCAAAACTTATTCATGTGAGAATCCAGAGGGTTCTAAGTAATTTCTTCATGTACTTCAGTTCTGTATACACAGGACAGGCCAGGAGGCTGTGTTGTTAAACAGCAGATTTGGAGAAAGTATTGGACCTTTTATCCAGATTGGATGCACTCCCCAGAGCTTTCTTGACATTCCTCAAAACTCACAGTCTCTGATTTTAGCTGTCCTCAGGGGGCATCTCTTTGCTGTTGCATGATCTTCTGAAGCACCAAGAAAAGGAACCAAAATAATTTGTTTAAAAAAGAAAGAATTCAAGTTTACTGCTAATAGTTGTGTTTTATTATTGTTCTATTCCATCTCATAATATATTCTAAAACAATGTGTACTCCACTGTATCCCAAAAATAAGTCAATTAATTACACTATGACTTCTTTTGCTGATAATAAAATAGCAGTAATAAAAAGAATGACAGTAGTGCATGAAGAGAATAAACAGTATCACTGAAATGTTAGGAAACACAATAAATGGGATTATGTCTGCTGAACCAAAGTTTCACACCTCCTCCTCCAATTCTGTCAGAGGAAGTTTGTGATGGCCATCTGTTATCAACCATGATCAAAATAATAGAACAGCGAAACTTTTTATGCTTCTAAGGGGCCTTTCATCAAAAATCTCAAAGCTGCTTCTAAATATAGAGTGACTGATCTTTAAAATTTTAAACCACTTTTATGTTTTAAACAATTAATATGATAACTTAGTTTTTCTATTCTTCGTCCTGAGTACTTGCCACTTGACGCACGGATTGAGCATTCAGCAACTGGTCAGCCTTAGCACACTGCTGGTACAGATTTTAGATCGCCCTTTTGTGTAGTTCATGCAGATCGCTCCACTCACTGTCACTTATCAAAGTAAAACTTGGACAACGTTAATTTCCGCATCTCAATTCAATGCCCAGACTAAGGATCGTAGACCAAATGGCCAACTCTATTAAAAAAAAAAAAAAAAAAAGAAAGAAAGAAAGAAAGAAAGAAAGAAAGAAAGAAAGAAAGAAAGAAAGAAAGAAAGAAAGAGACAAATAGTGTTGTCTCAACTTAAAGAGCAAAATCCTGATGCCCATGTAGTGCATGGGTAGAAATAGATGACTGAATTCTGTTTTTTCCTGTGTATGTTGCTGCATGTCTGTGTCTGGAGTGACAAGCTGCGGCTAGAGAATAGAGCATTCAAGAACATTATGGCATGGATGCTGCCAGTGTTAGTATGAATATTTACCTGAATGTAGCTTTGTTGTGCTTTTTTTTTTTTTTTTTTTTTTTTTTGTATTAAGGTTGTGTTAGTGTAGTCACACTTATTTTGTCCAAAAGATTTAAATAAAACAAGCAGTGCAGTTTCATGTCTTTAAAAGTCGAGGCTATGAAACACTGCGAAAGATGGAAATACTTTGTATGCTCATACCTCTGGTTCCTGAGGGTCCAGTTCACTTTTTTCGCTGTGAATTTAAATGAGTTAATTTAAGTAGATGGGTCAGAAGCCACTATCATTGTGGTAGCCCCGTGCCTGATTCTTAATTAAAGGCAACAGGAGATTAATTTGAAACATTAATTTAAAAGTACATACACAAAAAGAAAGAATTATTGCAAGAAAGCCTAAAGAACTTTTCTCTTGTCCCTAGATGTAGAAGACAGAAGTAGCTCAGGGTCCTGGGGGAATGGAGGACATCCAAGCCCGTCCAGGGTAAGTATATCTAATCTCTTCTCCCACATCCAGACATCTCACATATGCAAATTGACAGACCGAAGGTGAGTTTCTCTCAAGCACACACAAAACTGCACAGATATATATGCGCACTAAGTTTAATGAGGATCAGCTTGTGTTTGGATTCCCCCCCCCCCCATTCTCTTATTGGATGCTGTTATTGAATTTGACACCTGTTCTACTTGTGCTAACCAGAAGAAAAATCCTTCATTAAATATTTGCCCTTACTTTGCCAGTTATTGATCTAGTATTATAGAAAGTTATTTTTTTGTAGCTGACACAGCTTTGGACAAAATCCTAGTACTGTATCTCTGGAATATATTGGTGTAAATAGACCACTGAATAATTCTGAAGATGTGGTGTGAAGGACTAGCCTATCAGTTTACTCTACATAATAAATCTGTGTTGATTTCACTTTTTGAACATGTCATTATCCCACTGGTAGTTCCTTTGGTCACCAATGAGATTCATTCATTTGTTTGGTCTCAGATTTTTGCTATTCTTTTTCACAGGTTTCCTCCATTATTAATTGGTTGTTAGTTTTGATGTAATGGGATGGCCACAGAATGGGAGGGAAAGAAGTGGTTAGGCCATGAGTGTTTTTGTGTGTATATGACTTTGGGCATGTCATGTCACCTCTTTGATCTTCATTTTGATAAAATGAAGAAGTAGAACCAGAGGGACTCTTATGTTCTTTCCTACTTATATAATTTGACTTCACCTGAATCATTTCTAGCTCAGTAGAATCCATGTCAGCTTTTATAATATGCATATAATGCCCCAAATTAAAAATAGACTTAGAGCCCATAACTGAGCAGACATTGGCACCTCTCCCAACTGGCTATATAGTTGAAGCATTCTGTAGGGAGAATAACATTTTGCTTTAAGTATCCACATAAATTTGGGAGGAGGGAGGTCTCTGTTTTGGCATAAGAGGCAAGGAAGGTAGGTAATCAAGCTGTCAAAATGAGGACATTTCAGCAAGCCATAGTTACCCATTTTTACCGGTCCTTTGGCCTTGTGGTTCTCACCCTAGTCTTCAGGGGATAGCAGGATCTCTAAGCTTACCAGTAACTTTATTCAGCCCTTGTACCAGCTGTCGAGTCTGACATTCTAATGCATTATATGGTTGGGCTGAGGAAATCTTTCCTCCTCCTCATGTTACAGCCTGCACTTGTAGAAATAAATCCATTCCCTTGACAGCAAGTGTAGGAGATGACAGTGCTTCCCTCCATTGTTTAGTTCATTCAGACTTAATTTCTTATGACTTCTCAGTTTAATACACACAGTATTTTTAAATATATTTCTGAGAACAAGATCCGGTTAGGATCATCCTGAATTTTATTTAGTGTTCATTAACTGTTCTGCCATTCTTTTCAGGGAATATGCTGGTGAATAATTTGAATCGATATTTTGCTATTTATATTTTTTAAATCGAGGGGGTTTGAAGGAGAAAGATTATCGTGGTTCACTTGTATTTGTGCAGCCTAAATCTGTCTCATTTTAAAATGGTGATACTCTCAGTTACCTTGCAGTACTATGCAGGGGTTTAAATTAGATAATGTTAAGCTTTTAGAATAAAGGGTGGGACCCTTCATAATAACCAGTATTACTCTTGGTAAAGAATGAGTGAGTGCAAAACCCATGCTGGGTATATCACATCTTTCTATGCGCTGACTTAGTGACAGCATTAGATTACAGCACCGTCAATTAATTTCCATAAATGAGGGAAGGCAATTGAGAATTGGTTTGTTTGGAACTTTAAGGTTCCAGTTTTTCTCTAGTGAGGTGATGTTCATTTTCATTTTTCATATATTATCCCTCTTTTTTATGCGAGCATATTCTGCCCTTTGGCTAACATGCCAACTGGCACCTTTGAGTAAATTTGATTTAGTCTTTATGGGCAGTGCAACCAGCTGAACAGAATGACTTTTTTTTCCCCTTTCATTTTTGGTTACTTAATGCACCTTTGTAGATTGAAATTTGAACCATATAATATACAAGTACATGCTTTACTTTCGTATATGTTACCAATTCCTCCAAGAAAAATAAGTGACGAGGCAGTTTAAAAACATTATTTTAATTTTAAATTCCTGTTAAAACAATGAGTTGATCTTAACAATGGCAAAGTTAATGACTGCTTTAAAATCATTTTTGTGGTACACTTTGTCCAAACCCAGAAGTACTCATTTATGCTAAATTTGTGATGTTCATTCATACATAGTCCTATTATAATAATTTTAATATTCTATGTGTAATTACTTATGGAATGATCCAGTTCTCTTACAACTACCATAGTAATCTATAACAAAACACCGCAATTTCAATATAAAAAAACCATGTGTTGCTTTTTCAAAGCCTCTACCTGGGTCTTTCAAAAGCTATTCAATTACAGGCTGTGGGTATTTTCTCTTCTAGTGCAACCTTGCTCTTTAAAGAAAAACAATGTGGGCCTATCAAAATAATAACTTAATATTTACAATATGTTTTATGTTGGGTGCTTTGCATGCATTATTTCATTTAAACACTTCAACAATTTCATGCCAGTTGGTTCAGTTATTATTTTTCCCTAGATTTCACAACAATTATGAAGAAAATTTGAACTCTGCAGACTGTAAAGCCCTGTCTTAACTATTGCACCTGTGAAAATTCAGGTTCCTTATAATGAGGTTCCTGGGTCAGAATGGTGGATTTTATTTCTTTGGGTCAGAGAAGTCTCGCTAGTGGGTAATTTATGTGCTGATTTTTGCTCATGTAAAATTGAATTAGATAATGTATCTAAGTGCTGTTATTTTATTTACAGAACTATGGAGATGGGACTCCCTATGACCACATGACCAGCAGGGACCTTGGGTCACATGACAATCTCTCTCCACCTTTTGTCAATTCCAGAATACAAAGTAAGATAAACTTTAAATTAACGTGCCTTTTTTTTTTTTTTAATGACTATGTTTTATCATGCGAGGAAGAACAAAAACCCAGACAGATGTTCTGTTTTTAGGAACTTGGATTTTTAGTCAGTTCTCTATAGTAATTTTAAATTGGAGGGAAATATTGATAGTTTGTGCTTGGTAATAACACATGAAGAACTAAGTTTCATTAGCATGTGGAATTACAGAATTTCATGCAATCTACAAAAATTTTGTCTTCCTTAGATACTAAGCATTTACCACAATTTCAATTATGAAGTAGTAGTACTTTCTAAGTAAAGGTTGATGAAATAAGAAGTGGTGGATATTTAAAATAAAACTGTATTTTATGCTTGCTCATTGGCAATGAGATATAGTCAGTATTAACTGTGAATTATATTAATAGAGTTATGGAAACTCCTTTAATAATTCATAGAGGTTTACTATGTTTAAGTCAGAGTAGTGCCTTCACGTTGAATTGTAAAATCTGGTTGTGTGTTGATCAAGGGGTGAACTTTAGTGCTAGTGGTCTAGGCAGGCATCATCCTACTCCACTGAGAACAAGCTGTATGTCGTTTGAGACAGTCTGTGAGCTCCTTGCATGCCCTTTCTACTGATCAGTCTAGTTTTCTGCTTTTACTAGCCTGTAGGGTGTTTGTTTAACAGCAGTAACATAAGCAATGAAAAGAATTCATAATGGCTTAAGAGGTCTCAATAGATGGTTATTTTCGATTGAAAAAATAATATTTGTTCTAGTAAAATGTGAGTTTTTAATAATATTAGTAAATCTCTCAACTTGGCCAAATATTTTTTTAAGAATCCTCAACAAATGAAATTGAATTTTTGGTGCAAGAGAAACATATAGCCATACTTATACCATTCTGAAACCATAATGGCAAATGCTTTTAAAGAATGTCCCTATTTTCAAGCCTTGTAACTACCCGAAAATAAGACAGTGTCTTATATTAATTTTTTCTCCCAAAGTTGCACTAGGTCTCATTTTCAGAGGATGTCTTATCTTTCCTTGCGCTAGGTCTTATTTTCGGAGGATGTCTTATTTTCGGGGAAACACGGTATACTCATTATTTAAGGGGTAGATAGTCCTTGAATCTGCTTTTTGAACTTTAAGGGTTCCAAACTCCCTCAAATCACATTAAATCCATCTGACAAATTTTATATATTTATCATAAAATAGACAAAGCAGAGAAATACTGGCAATTTATTTTTAAATGTGTAATATTATATGTTGTGCCTGTACCTGTCATTCCAACTTTGACAGTCACAACATTCTCTTTGATCAAAGGATGTTATTCTATTTGTGCTTTTTAACTTTGAAATGGTAAATATATATGTGTATGTTTTAACTTTATAGCTAAAACTGGAATCCCAGTTTTTTTATCAGATGTTGATAGGAAGATACAACACAATTTCCTGTTTACAGGATGTACAGATGCAGATGGCTAATATATTTATCAACTTAAAGGTGAAAAAAGCAACTCTAGACACTTCAGTATAGTAGTAATAATTTTAAATTCTAATGCCACTGCTTCTCATCTCATCCTCACCCAACTTCATAACATAGAAAAAAAATAATTTGAAAATAAAAGTCTTGAGAAGTATTAATAGCATTTAAAGAGTATATGAAAGAACTTCCTTAGTAGCTTCTAAAACTGTCCTCTGACAAGGTAAATAAGTAAAATAGAATAAATAAATTATGATTAATATTTTAATTCCAATAATATACATTAAAAAAGTTTTCCTAAAGAATAACTTGATAAAATAATTTTATAGAATATGCTAAGCAATGCAAAGATAGTAAATAATTATTGTTCCTTTGTCCTTACGGGCAACTGTTTTAACAACCAAATTCATTTTTCAACCCAAATAATATTTAAAATGTAAGAGGATGATTGTCTAGGGCTAGAGGGGAGAGTTCTTTTCACTTAGCTGTTGTTTAAGCTGAAAGTCTATGTCAGCTGTGCTCTTTTATCCCGTCTGCCCTCCTTCCCATTAAACTCTTAAATATGGAGGCCAAGACAGTCTCCTGCATTGTGATAGGAAATGCTACTATGTCCGGAGGCTCCCACCCACTGTTCCCAATGAAAGGCCTTCTCTGTTAGATAAGCTGTCTGGTCTGAAACATGGCTCTTTATTGTTTACAAACTGCTACATTTTCCACCTCAAGCAGATTTTTGCACAGAAAAGAATTGTGCTTGGGCTAAATGGTTTATCTGACATTAACGGTGCAGTGTCAGATTGAGGTCAGGGAAGTCACCCTCAGAGTGAGAGGGCACAGTGCTGTGTGCAAAAAAAGGAAAAGGAGAGAAAAAGACATTTAAGTAACTATGAAATATCTTGCATTTTTAGTTGGGAAAAGAATTTTTAAGAAATAGTTTTATAAAACTGACCACCAAGCTACATTAAAAACTCTTCCCACCCTTATAATTTCTCACATCCCAAACGCCTTCTTGACTGGTTTGAGTATCTCAGAGCCAGATTCGGGAACAAAGATTCTCATTGATTTTGCTCAAGCTGCTGTTTATTTAAAATGAAACCACTTTTGAGATGAGCGATGCTTGGTGTTAAGTTGCATCTTAACAAAGAGAAGGTAGGTCATTTTCAAGAAATTTAAGGCAGGCAGCTTACAGAGGGAGACCAAAACACAAAGTAAGATCTACTAGCATAGAGAACAATTTAAATTCATAAACTATATGGTATATTCTAATCTGTTCTTTGTGTCCAAATATTCACTCTGTGTTATAACCTTTGTGGAAGTTCTTATTCTATCCGAAGAAGGTATTAGATTTTAATATAAGTTTTGACAATACTCCTGTATCCATTCTTAGAATGTTTAGTTTTCATTAATTACAAAGATTTCTTTACATGTGAGAGACTTAATTCTACTATGATGTCACATTAGAGTAAAAGCTATAGCATTAGAAATAAATCAGCCACTTTATTGGACCAGATTCTCTATTGTCAAATCAATCAAGCCTATAACTGAATTAGGCGTCTGCTACAGAAATAAGTGACACTAATTTTACGGGAAAGAGTTATTAACTGCAGATGACCTTATTTTTTTTTTTTCTTTTGTAAACTGTTCACTTAGTGAAATTTAGTTTATTACAAGTAAAGAAAAAAGTAATGTACCATTTTCTCCTTTTGGAGGTAAATGAATATTGCATGTTTTGTTCTTTATGGCACTCCACTATTTTTGGAAAAATGATGCAGGAATTGGTACATTTGCTCATAAACTCTTTTATGCTAATAAAACACTATTACAATTCTGAACTTTGATATTTTACACCAATGATTTTGAATAAACGTTCTAACTTTTTGTAATATAATACTTATGTTTGGCAGCAAAATAATAAAATTCAATTTACTTGTGTATCTTTTTTATGAAAAATGGGTCATAATTTATAAGATTAATAGAGTGACTCCATTAATTTACTCTTTTAGAAATAAGCTTTCATGTCTGAATATAGTGCTCTATTTAATAGTTTATGAATCCCTGAAGTAGAAAATAAACAAATGAACATAAGAGCACTTATTATGCTAGAAGAGTTAATGACATTTCTTGGTTTATAACCAAGGCTGCACTCTGTAATTTGAGTTGCCATACAGAGTTTTGGAAGTTGATATCATGTACTTCCTTTAAAGAAGAACACAATTAAAGCAGATAAAGCACCAAGCCCCCAAATTTGTTCTTTGAAAAAATAGATGTGCATGACCTTTTGTTTTTCCTTTGGTGTGGGTGAGTATGGAGGAGTTGAGAGGTTTAAACATCAAGTCACAGAGTTGACTGCCTGCATTGACCAAATGATGAACTATTCTACCTGGCATTTTCTGAGTCCCAAGCTCATTGCTTTCATTCGGCTAGTTTGCATTTTTATCTGTTTGATTTTTCTGTGTCCTTTTTTGGTACTGAAGAGAAAGTAAATCACTTCTTTCTTATGACTACTTGTGATTATTAATGGTTAGAGGCCTGGTACATGAATTTGTGCACCAGTGGGGTCTCTAGGCCTGGCCTGCAGAAATAGGCTGAAACCAGCTCTCCAACATCCCACTAAGGGTCCCAGATTGTGAGAGGGCACAGGTCATGCCCAGGGACTCCATCAATGCATGGTCGGAGCTGGGGAGGAATGCAGGAGGTTGCCTAACCGGGGAGGGACAGTGGGAGGGCTCCAAGATGTGTCCGGCCCATCTCGCTCAGTACAGATCTGCCGGACCTCAGTAGCAAGCTAACTTACCGATTGGAGTGTCTGTCCCCTTGTGATCAGTGCACATCATAGTGATTGGCCGACTGGTTGACTGTCTGTCCCTGGTGTTCAGTGCATGTCATAGCGATTGGTTGACTGGTCGACTGTCTGCCTCTTGGTGGTCAGTGCACATCATAGCCAGCAGTTGAGAGGCCTTAGCATATCATTAGCATTTTATGCTTTGATTGAACAGATGACTGGATGACCGGACACTTTAGGATATTAGGCTTTTATTATATAAGATAATATTGTACACCTGACCTGTTGGAAATTGTTTGCTGCAGTTTTAAGTAGTTAGATGAAACCTATATAGATGGTCAGTGGGTGGCTTTCAGAATATGTCATTCAGACCGAGAGGCAATGGGTCTGAGTCTTGTTTTAAGAGAACTATATGCTATAGAATAGTTTGAAATTCCTGGCAAGAACTATATGCAGAGAGTACGTATTTTTAAAACTTTACCCCCTGTTTTATTTTTGCCAAGCATTAAACTTTTGTAGGTAATTATTTGTCCAAATATTTTTACAATAATATACAATATATTTTCCAGCTAAAACGTTTTGATCCAAGGAAGGATCTTAGGGTGCATTTTTCTTCTATTGTTCCAGAGCCTTAATTGAAAACCAGGTTGTTTTGAGTGAACAAGGTGCCAATAAGATTATAGACATGCATTTGGTAACTGCAGGATGTGAAAAGTGATACTTTTGTATGGTTGGGTGCAGCTTAGCTCA